GGAATTCCATTCCTATCCTTCCTGCACTCTACCACTATATCACATCCCTAGTCTGTTTTAATTTTATACTCCAAGACATATTTTTTCTTCAAAAAGAGAAACAAAAATGCACAGTGGTTTTGAATATAGGAAGTGATAGTGGTATTTTCCTGAACTGAACATGTGGGAAGGAAAAGCTTGTTAGGTATGATACAACAAGGGTATCTTGTGCAAATCTACTAAAAAGATCTGTGAAGAATTTCACTCTCAGTCCAAATTTTGTAAGGTTTCATTTCACTCCTTAATCACTAGTTTCAGGCTTGTAGGAATAATTTCTGAACACCTGTGTACTGTCTACAGAGGGAAGGGGTATTTGCTGTTTGCAACCTTGTCTGTCTTCTTGGTGTCCCTGGGTTTCAGGATCAGAACAACATGGATGCCAAGTGGAAACGGTTTAGGGGCAAATCTGAGCTCCTTATGTGGAGTATTTGCCTACCTTTCTTCCGAATAGCTTCTTTTTCTTTGTTTGAGGTCAGGGCCCAGCTTCCATTTTCTTGATGAATGAAGATAGCTAGGAGAGACCCAAAAGAGAGGAACACATGTCCACGTAATGTCGGACTACACTATGGAATTAGAATGCTATACACAAATGGTCCGATGTGAATTTTAACTTTGTTCTAGGAAATAAGCTAAATGTTCATTTATTGACATGGTATATTAATTATATTAATATATTAATCTTCTCAGCAATTTTTGGAGGTAGAAACTCCTGTTATTACCATTGAACAGATCAGGAAACAGTCTCAAGAGTTTTTATGGAATGTCCCCAAAGGTAAGGATCAACACATTTCCAGTGATTATCTACAACCAAAGAAGTCGCGCTGGTCATTCTTAATATTATCTTTTGAAAGAGGCTTCTACACAGCAGTGTGGGACCCACTTGGAGGCTGAGCCCTTTTGCTGGTAATGGAGATGGAGGGGAGTGTGAATTGTATGAAACAGCTGCAGAAGATAACGCTGAAGGCTTTGAATATTAATATCAAATGATACTGGCAAGTAACATTTCATCACCCCAAAGTATTGTTTCTGGGAAAGGATTGTACAATCCCTGCAAGGGTGTGGGAAGATGCATAGCAGGTCAGACCCTCTCGGGACAGACTGAAGTGGTGAGAAGTGAGGAAAGGCACTGTCATCCCAGGGATTCCATTTTTATTTATCATTTATTATCATGCCTTTTTTCTTCATAATGAAAAGAAGGTCTTGCATTCTTTCTTTTAGATTTTGGTCAACAAATCTTTACAGCTCATTCAGGCTTTGGTGTGAACACACATACATGTGTGTATGTTTGCAACTTTCATTAAAATATGGAAGAACTTTTCTAAAATAAATTATGAATGAATTAATGTTTTCCCTCTCACCCTCACGGATGTGTGTGTGTGTGTGTGTCTGTCTGTCTGTCTGTCTGTGGATGACTTAAACCCTTCCCTCTAATCATGTATCAAGTTTGGATTAGTAGAGATAAAGAGTGAGCTAAAGAACTGTGTGGGGCACCAGGCACAGGAGAGGGGACAGAGTGTCCACTCTGTAGATAGGGGTGAGGGTTAACAGACTGAATTGGCTGCTGAAAATCAGCGGCACATCTGAAAGGAAAATGTGTAGCTGCTCTTTCTCAGCTTTCCCATTACCTCAGGCCATGGAAAGATACTGGTCTTAGAACACAAACTACATGCTGGGGGATGGTGGTTACAGTTTATGACAACACTAATATTTTCACACTGTATATGTGTTCATCACACAAATTCCTGTCTGTTAGCTCTTGGAGGCAGGAACTGAGAACAGGAAAAAAAAAACTGATAAAGTTGGTGTAGCCTCTCATTTTACATCAAAGAGAACCTGAGGAAAGTTAAACTCTAAGGTCAAGGCTATAGAGCTTGTCCAGGGAGGGCCTTATTCCAAGTTTTTTTTAGCTGCAGTCCAGATGATTCTAGGACCTGTACACCTGCAGACAAAATCTCTACAAGAGGTAGTAGATCTTTGGTTTTCTCTCAACATGTATGGATGCGTCCAGCACTTAACACTGGATTAGAACAGTATTTTGTTCTATACTTGCTACATGTCTGTATTTATATGTTTTGTGCAATATTGTATTTAACACACACATAGTAAGCTTATTATTATATGTTCTACATAGATGATGTTTTTCCAGAAGTCCCATCTCTTTGGAATCAAAAATATAACTTTTGCCAAAGTCTATTAAAATCCTCATGTTTTAAATTAAAATCTATGACCTGTTTGGTTAACTCTTTATTCTTCTGTTCGGGGAGTATACATGAAGAGGACAACAGAGGAGAACCCTCGCCAGTTGTCGTGGGTGTGGAGGGAACGTGTAAGAAGTGTGGAGGACATGACTTTTTATGCTTCTGGTTCCACTTATATATGAGCTGATCTATTGGAAGCTGACTATAAATTTATTGCAGAATACTCTCAGATTTGGCAATATCTGGAATCAAGGAGGAAACTTCTAAATCTTGACAATAAGCCCATTATTGCAATGGTCACCTCTCTCATCTCCTCGAGTGACCCCAGAGCAACAACCTTCTTCCTTGATGTGTGTTGTTTTTATAATTCCTTGTTCTGAGAGCCTTCTTTCTGGTCATCTATAATTACTCTGTATATATCTGGAAGACATCACAAAAGAACTTTGGTTCCCTAAGCATCAAATGAAAGAATATTTATCGTTTGCTCAGAGGTAAGACACATAATTAGAAAATAGCATTTTCATCATCTTTGGTAGTATTCCTGAATTGTGCTCCAAGAAATCTGGTGTTTCAAAGACATCCAAATGTATTCTACCCCAAATACTTTCTGTGTCCAAATAAACTTGGTAAGCAAAGGGTTAAACAAAATTATTCCAGAACTTTTCAGGGCATTTAGTGTCACAATTCTTACAGGTGTGAATTTTCAGAAGGTGAGTGTGACATGCTGCATTAGGCACACTCAACTGATGATGCCTCTTTCCTCCCTAAGTATCACTCAGGCTCAAAATTTCTGAATACAATTTGGGAAATAGAATCAATGAAGTTGTTCATCAAATGTAACCTTTCCAAGTCTCATTTCTGAAGATTAGCTTTTTAAATCTAAAATTTACTTAGAGATGGGTAAGAGAAAAAGAAGGAGTAGAAATTAATTTGTGTATAGGGAAGGAACGTGAATTGTTCTCTTTGATTATCTTCATGGATGTGAAGGTCAATAATGCTGTTAGAGAACTGAATACAACTGACTAAGTAACATGAAGTGGTAGGCATTTTGGAAAGCAGAAACATTACATTTTACCAGACTTATTCAAATGCCAGATACTCTGGATGTTATTTAAACAAACCTGTTTTCAAGCTCCTTTGACCTTATATTGATATAAGAGAAATGATGTGTCAAGTTATGGAAATATTCATCAAATAGCCTTGTGAAAGGAAAGAAAAAGGGGGGCGGGTAAAGATAATGTTAGAGGACAAGAAATTGTACTGGAAGTGGTAGACAGGATAAACACTGGAGGCACTGTTTTACTTTTATATATTAAAGGAGATGCTCTACAGCAGTGAGGCCAGGCCTGTAGTGGTTAATGTAAGCATGTCTGAGTACACTGGGAGAAACTACAGTTTGAATTTAGAAACTGCACTTTTCAGTAAGGTAGTTAGCACAAAGGCACATGAGCTACACATTAGACAGAACCAGTGCACACATCACCAGGTACCCTCTGATGATGCTCTATCCTAAAACAACATATGGAATTGTCTATAGGGCACTGCATAGAGTTAAGAAATAGGGGACAATTCTTGGTCTAGAATCTGACAAAGGCTGTTTTGTGGGTCCTGCTGTCCTCAGGAGACTATTCATACAGGAAGCCCCAGAAGAGGGTTAATCCAGGCCTGTCTTGGGTCCTAAAGATGAGGCTCAGCCTAATCTTGACAATTTTGAGAGTTTAAAAAAGAATGCCAAGTGAATTAAACCACAAGGAGGTAAGGGGAGCCAGGATTGGCCATTCAACAAGTTAGAAGTCTGGGCACTCAGAAGTCTTTAGACTATTCTTTTGTAAGATCACAGTGACACATTAGAGCTTTCATCTAAGCCCAGCTAAATGTGATTACCTCTTCTCTAAAACACTTCCTTTGTGTCTTCATGGAGATTTTGGGAAGTGAGTGTGGACGTGTTCTTGTAGTATGTGCAACATTCAAAATTTCAGGGTCATTCCACTGGACTTGGCTTTTTGTCTAATTGGTTGTTACCTCCTTGAGAGGAGAGGTAAGGGAATCAGAACTTGTAACTGTAATTTACTAAGCTTTGAAAATCTTCCAAACACTTAAGAAGAAGATCCAAATGCTGCCCCCACTTTCTAGGCAACGAAACTGAGGTCTAGGCTTCCAGATAGCTAGCTGTCCGAGTCCTCAGAAGTGGTGTGGAAGGGCCGGGGGTTTAGCTCAGTGGTCACAAGCACAAGAACCTGAGTTCAATCCCCGGTACCAAAAAAAAAAAAAAAAAAAACAAAAAACAAAAAAGAAGGGGTGTGGAAAGCATCAGGTGTCAGACCTAGATTTCCCTGGCTCTCTGCCCATGTCTTTTACCTTAGGTTAATGAGTTTCTACCTGGAAAGTTAAAAAAAAAAAAAGCAAACTGATCCATGAACTTCACTTTCCAGTATTCGGATTTCATTTATCAGAGGTAATATTTGGTCTTCGGTGTTAAACTCCTACAGGCGATTGTAATGGACCCTTGGCCCTGAGAATCTCGGCCTTTTCGTGCTATTTTGTTCATTTCACCATTTTTCATCTCTACGACTGCACTCACCTATGATAGAGGTTAAGAGATGTTTATTGGTTAGTTCTAAGGGTGTTTGTTGCAAGAGGAAAGTTACAAAGCATCTCCTTAGAGGCAAGGCAGAATTTAAAAATTCATCAGAAGACGTAATTAAGGGCCTGGGGATGTGACTCATTCTGTGCTCAGAGATGATTCCCAACCTTCCCTTGCAGGGGGAGTTGTCCTTAACCCATCCTATTATGGCATGCCGGGCCACACCAACATCATGATCCACGAGGTGGGGCATGTCCTGGGACTCTACCACGTCTTCAAAGGGGTCAGCGAGAGAGACTCCTGCAATGACCCCTGCAGGGAGACGGTGCCATCAATGGAGACAGGCGATCTCTGTGCCGACACTGCCCCCACACCCAAGAGTAAGCTGTGCCAGATTCCAGAACCTGCCAATGACACCTGTGGCATCACCCACTTCCCAGGGGCTCCATTCAACAACTACATGAGCTACACAGGTATCACCACAGAGTTGATGCTTGTGTTATTACTGAGATTACTGGGTAGTTAGGAGGCCTGGGTGGGGATGGGCAGGGTGGAGGTCCAGGAGCTACGAGGAAAACTGGAGAGGTCACTCACACCGGACAGTTAAAGAGTATTTATTATAGGATATTCTCCTTTTTCCATGTCTCTCAAGAACTTGAAGAAATGCTTAGATATTAAGGGGTCTTGTTGATTCCATTCTCTTCCACTAGAAATTGGAGGAATAGCACACTTTTGTCCTGGCTAGTAAAAATGGGACAAAGCTAAAGGCTTCTTTGAGAGCTCTTGGACTTATAGAACTTGGCGATTTCGTTCTTGTTCATGTTCTCAGGCAATTGCTTTGAAGGAGAGACAGTTTGCATTATTTTTAGAGTTGCTGAACTAGATGACTTAGTACATTTAGGCTCAGGATTCCTTTTATTTTATATTATCTTTAAACAAACAGATTTACTTTTCCCAGCATTGGTGCTTAGCTTGCCCTCCATATACTCTGCCAAAAAATGGATCTTCCTCATCTTCAAAATAGTGCCCTCCTGGCTCCAGGAATAACTGTACCATTTGCTCTTGTCCTTTCTAACTTCAGCTCCTGGATTATCTTTCTTTTCTGTTTCTCACACCTTCCTTATTTCTGCCGAAATTAATACTAACTAGTATCCAGACAGTGGGGTTGATTTATCCTAAAATAAAGGGCTAATTTGATTTGATGACCAATTCCAATGATGGAAAAAGGTATTTCTTTTTCTAGTTCCACATACTTGTTTGTAAAACAATCTAAAAAAGTCTCTGGTCGTGGCTCTAAAATGAAGAAAGGACAGTGAGTTGGCTCTGCCTATGACCTAGCGAGATGTTTCTATCCAAGTTTCATTGTGGTGAATAATTCAGGTACATTGAATTCATAAGAACCAGCTCCACTGTCCTCTGTCAAGAGCCCACTGGCCTTTGACTGGGGAAAAGAGCAGAAGAGGGAAAGCAGAGAGCTCTTGACTTACCACCTTTGAACTAGGAAGATGAAATAGTGAAGAAGCAGGGTGGGATTTCACATTTGGCTGGTGTGTTTTAAGTAAAAACATTCCTGAAACGAAGATCGCTCCTTTTTTCAACTCCATGGAAAAATGTACTTAATAGAGAGACTTTGCTAACCCCTTAAATAAGATTGGGACTACCATTCCCATCCCTGCTGTTTTCTTGTCATTTGACTTTTTGTCCCTTTAACATTTTCACTGAGTACTCACTAACCTTGCCAACATCAACAGGCAATAATAAAGTAGGTGCTCACAGCTCCGTACATTCACTGTGCAAAGGCCCTCTGCTAAAACACTGCCATCTTGTGGTTTGCTGAATGAGCAAGCATCAATTTAGAGCAATCTGCACTCTAGGGTGTGTCTTACCCTAGGCTTGCCCAGCATTCAGGCAATGAGTGGCCTTGTTTTTGAGATAAGCAAGTGCTGTATCTCTGCCTTCTCTTTTCCATTTCCATCTGTGATGCTTTCTGGAACACAGTGAATTTACCTTCTCAACAAGTGTGTTTTGAGCCTAGTAAATATAAGGAGTTGGGCTAGGTGCTGGTCACCACTGAGGTGGAGGCAGGATTTAGCTCTGTACCGGTGGACTTTACAGGTTAAAACTCTACTTCTTCTGTTTCCTTCTTTGTCTCACAGATGATAACTGCACCGACAGCTTCACCCCTAACCAAGTGGCGCGGATGCATTGCTATTTGGACCTTGTATATCAGCAATGGAGTCAAAGCAGAAAGCCCACCCCCATTCCTATCCCACCCATGGTCATCGGGCAGACACACAAGTCCCTCACTATCCACTGGCTACCTCCTATGAGTGGAGTTGTATATGACAGGTGAGAGCAGGACTGTCCACAGGTGAGCTGGTAAACTTTCTTTGCAGTGCTTCCTGAGAGTATGGATGCGCAGGAGGGCCATCTACATTCGGAGCTCTCAGTGTGTGCAGCCCTGTTCAGGGTTGTCTCCCTCAGGAAGGGCCAGAAGAGGAGAACTGAGAAGGCATTTACTGCCTGTCTTATGAGCTTTTCCTCAGCGGGGCGGGGTGAGGATGAAGCAGGGGCTTGCTGCTTGCACAGTGGTGTAGGAGAAAGAGAAGTAACACATGCTCCTTCATGTGGTCCTGGGGTGGGTGGGAATGTGCAAACTTTCACCATCTGTGCATTGGGACTTACACAACTCTTATGGGCATTTCTAATGTTCCCTCGGCCCCCTGCTCCATCCTGTACCACCTTTCCCCTCCCCACGGCTATCTTACGGAATTGTTACTACCTGCTCATTTTCCTATCTGCCTCACTCAGCTGGCACTATTGGGGGTTAGAGGTAGAACTATTTTCTGTATCTTTGTTTCTTAATCTGCCACAGTAGACCCTAGTGATTTACTTACAAATAAGAACTATTGAAGAAAAACATGGTTCCTAAAGCCAGCATCGTTCATTCTTCCTTTGTATATTAGTGCAGGGGAATTTTTGTAAAAGACAAAGAAAAAAGAATGACACCTGATGGAGGAATAGGAGAATGTGGTCTAACTGAAAGGCTCAGAACTCCATTTGTGACCCACGAAGATTAGCATCTTTCAAAACCTACCACTGTACCTTAAATAACAGGAATAGCTACCGTCTGTTCAGTCCTATGTGTGGAGCATCATGGGACACACCTTACTGCGCTTGTCTTATGTATTCCTTGCAATAAGCACAACTCCTGCTACCTAAGTGAGAAATCTGAGGTAGAAAAACACAAGGGGCTAGCCAAGAAGTGAATTGGGATTTCGTCAAAATTCAGAAATGAGAAACTTGGAATCAATGAGATGATTTCTTTGAATTTAGAGCACCCCTGCTTAGCAGGCAGACAGCCCCTTTTCTTCATGCCACACTGCCTTTGGGGGTGCTGGGCCCCAGTAAAGGTGCGGGAAATCACTAGAGGGTGTCTTTATGTCCAGTAGCTTCACTGAAATTCTGAATATCAGGGCCACAAAGAGATGTAGACAGGGTAAAACTGGTGAATCCCATTTGCTAACTGGTTTTCATGGGCTCTTGGGATCTTGATACTTGTCCTTGAAAACTTGACCCATACTCAGTGGATGACATCATTCAGCGCTCACAACCCAGCAACCTAGTTTTCATTGTCATCAGCACCCAGGCTCTGAGGGGCTCTGTTTGGTGATTCAGCGCACATCTATGTGGTGTGTGTAAGAATCATCTTCCTGCAAGTGTGACCTTGTGTAGCTTTGGTCGGACTGGCTGAACAGTAAGTCCTCTGTGGGTATGTGCAAAACCGGAGTTTTACATCAGTTTATGTAACACATGTAAACAATTTAATCTTTCAGTTCTCTCTCTGGTACAAACGTTACAATAAAGCAGACATCAGAACTGGCTTGCTGAGAGTCTGTTGGCAGAAAAGGCTGCAATTTGCTTCCTTTTCTCGGCTAGGTGGGCTTAACAGTTTTGAGGCCTTCCAACACATGTGTCGGGGGGACTCACGTCACATGCCTAGCGATTTGGGTCATGCCTGGAGTTATGTTTACTCCAACCTTGTAGGTATTTTGAATCCTTATGTCAGAGAGGAGTCCCAGCTACGCATTGGGCAGCAGCCTCGGAAGGACAAAATGCACCAGGGAAATGTGGTTTGGAATCGCGTCCACATTAGAAGAGATTGCTGATTGGAATCCAAGGGCAAATCTTAACTACACCTTTTGGTTGCCAGAGTCTTGGACCTTAGATGGTGTTTGTGACCTTGCTCAAAGAAATTAATGAACTTGTGACCTTTGGGGAGTTTATTCAACCTTTCTGACCCTGAATTTTCTCGTTTGTAAACACGAGGATTTTACAGGGATTAGAAATAATTTATGAAAAACACCTGTGGCATAAGGCCAGGTAGGTGAGGTGTTTAGTGAAAAGAAGCTGCTGACATAATTATTACCTTTGTTTAAAAATCCAATTTTTTCTAGCAAAAGATATTGTTGTGCTATTAATATGCTACCTATCCAGTGCTGCTGATTTGATGCCTACATTTCAAGATGTGTATTTCACAAGTGGGCTCCTAAAGACATTCCCAAGTATCAGAGACAAGCCTTGTGAGGTGATTTGCTCTTGTTATTTAGTTATTATTATGTCCACCTGTTATGCTTACCCCAGATACGGTGTGGGTAGAGCTCTTCACAGACTGCGTTAATCATCTCATAACATCCACAAAAGAAGCAGTCACAGAGGAATTATGGAATCCATCCCTGTGCTCGCTCCCTGTGCTTATAGAAAGAGAATGTAGATGGTTCAGACCTTCCCGGAGCCCAGGAGAGGAAAGAGTATGGATGGGTGAAAAGACTTAATAGCGCCTTGCAGTGCACTGAGAGAGGAGCCAGTGGGTGCAGAGCATGCGCAGAGGAAGCAGAGATTCTACTGGAATGGATCTTGGATTGTCTCGTGTAGGAGTCTGCTCAGCAGAAATGCCTGGAAAGACCACTTGACAGCTGAGAGGACATCGTGTTTTGTGGAGCTAAGGGCAGGATGTATTTGTGGAATAGCGACATGTCCTTTGCGACGGGAACATAAAATCATGAGGGTGCTGCGGTAGTGAAGCCAGAGCTAACTGGTTAATGAAGTTTGGGTAACAGTGCAGAATTCAGATATGTCCTTCTGGGCACTGGAGAGCCAAGGAGTATTCTATTTCACATAGATCTTATTTAAGGCATGTAATTAAAGTAGGGAGTTTAAAACATGAGAATACATAGCTAAAATTTTATTTTGAAAATTATTGTCTGTCTTGGTGGCGGGAGTGCAAATGGTCTTTAATGACTTTTGGATAGTCAGTGTAGAAAGGAGTTTCGTGTTGACTCGGACTATAATTATTTTATGTTTAATATTCCCAGGACAGAAGCTGCCCACCTGCATGTCCATGGTCCTCTTTTATGACTTACATTTTTCTCCTTCAAGACCTTGAGGTTTTCATGTCACTGTGAATTTTACAAAGATGAGGTGCACATTAGCAGGAAGTGAGAGCACTGTTTCCAGTCGCCCTCTAAGACCTCACTAGAACCACCTTTTCCCCCAAGGTCTTCCTAATTTCCTGATCCCTGTTTATCAGACAAATTTTCATCTTCCCCTTCTCCCCTTCCCAGGGCCCCAGGTAGCTTGTGTGGCAGCTGCTCTGAAGATGGGACATTCCGGCAGTATGTGCACACTGCTTCCTCCAGGCGGGTGTGTGACTCCTCAGGCTACTGGACGCCAGAGGAGGCTGTGGGTAAAGTACCATGGCTTTTGATTTATACCTTTATGACCATTGGGAAAGAGGATGGAATAATGGTGTGGTGGAGAGCAGGTGTGTGTGTGTGTGTGTGCGTGCGTGTGTGTGTGCATGTGTGTTAGTGTGTTGCTGGATGTCTTGTCTTGGAGAGGCTTCTTGATGCCTTCATGTCCCTAATGTCCCGTGTGTACCTCATGTGGAGACCCAGTGCCTGTGATGGAGCAGAGAACGGCATATGACACAGAGGGACAGAGAAGTCAGCCAATCTCAGGGGTGACTTCAGGGTGAGTCTGGGCCAATAGTGTGCCATGTGCCCACTTATCCCTGGAGCTGCCTTGACATATAACAGGGCAAGGTGATTGCTCCCTGCCCGGCATCAAGAGAATAATGGAGAACACGCTGCAGTCTACAATCGCATGTTGGCTGGATGAGTTGGTGTGAGGGTAAGGAGGACAAGGTGTTCCACACTGCTCGTTCTCATCTGTGCTGTTTTATGAGACTATTAATCACTGGTACTGGTTGTGCTTTGGATCTGATTTAAACTAGGCTCCAGGAGGGGGAAGATGTTTTTTGTTATCTCTTTTCCTGTCCCTCCCCCAACTTCTCAGTCACATAGTCACTTGAATATGTACATCAGGGGCCTGAAGACAAGTTTTAGTATGAATCATTTCTCAGTTCTAAGCCAGAAAAATGCTGCTGACATGACTTTCCTCACCTCCTGATGAATGGCTTCACTTCTTCCATGATCATCATCTTCAGTGCTCACCTAATCATCACGTTTTGCCTTTGCTTTTTCCCTCTCTCTGGTTTCTTAAGACTCAAAAAAGAAAGCCACTCAATAAGATGTGTTGCAATTATTTTATTTGAATTACTTTGCCATCTTGACTATGTCCACAAGAAAAAGAAGAGTAGTCTGAGTCTGCAGTATCAGTACAATCACCGTGAGCTCCCAGTCACACAGATGACAGGGCCTGGAGGAGCTGGAAAGAGACAGTTTGTGTGATTGATTGTATATGACTTTTTCAGAGGAAAGTTTTTAGAGAAGAATGGAAAGTGAATATAAAATTTAGTACTTTGGACTCATGTAGAGATTGGCATTTAATAAAAGGACAGTTTTGTGGCAAACAGTTTGTTCTGTGCTGGAACTTTAATGCCTGTTTGACTCTCTAACCCAGAATTTTTTTATTATTATTATTTCTTGGGAAAGTTCAAAGTTATCTGGTGTAGGGTAAAGGAATTTTAAATTCTGGATTATAATTCTTATATCTTGAGGCAAACCAATTCAACTTTTAAGGCCCTTACTTCATGTTTAACATGAAGTCACAACAGAAACTTTCTAAGCAGTGCTGCTGCTTGGTGGTCTTTCTGGGGCCTTTACTCTACTAGTATTTTGGAATAAACACTGAAAAAATCTGCTGAGAAAAGCTGGCATTCCTTTGCTTTGAAATGGTTGAAGTCTGGTCAAATTTAAAATGTACACAATAACAGTAATTGAATCCCCCAACAGACGACATACAGACATACACTCACAGATAGGACAAAGTAAAGTTAATGGCACTGAATGAATACTTTATTGACCACCAGTTACTTTCTAAATGCTACAGTGAATAGAAAATTGAACTAGATGCATTCCTTTGTCATCTTGTTGGCAAGAATGCTTCCAACTTCACAATCTAAAATAGCTCTCAGACTCACATCAAAATTCTCTCTTTCCTTATATTTTCATTTTTTCTCCAAAACATTACTACTTGAAATAATACTTTATAATTAGTTGCATCTATCTCCCAGTTGTAGGGTATAGGAACACAGGGTGTTTCATATCACTTGCTCACTGTCTCTAATCACTAGGTTAATGCTAGGTGATCCACAGTGAACTTCTGTTGCATGAATGAATAAGTCAATTCACAATGTAGGCAAAAACCAATAATGACCATAAGATAAGATACAACACTACACACACACACACACACACACACAAACAGATTTGAATTTAGGTTCTCTGGGCTTTGGAACATTATTTTTCAAATGCTGAATGACTGAATAATTCTACTTTTGCAAATGTAGATATATAATTTTTATGATACCTTGCATATATCTTTCATACTAATTTAGTAGAGCAGAATTTAACTGTAGTACTTATTTTATAAGAAAGAAAAGCAAGGCTTAGAAAGATGTGCCTGCCACAACCATCCAGTAACTGACATGGTGCCAATTAGAGCCTAACTCTGCTGGTTTCTAATTCAGCACTTTCTCTTCAATTCCTTTCATGTGATGTAAAAGAAAACAACTTTGTATGGATTATTTCCACAGGCTGACGTTAACATATTTGTGTTATGTGATTTTTTTTCACCGTTGCATTTTTACTCACCTGTCCAATCTCCTTTCTTTCAGTCAGTCCTGTGCCTTTGTGTTTCTTGTCTATAGTCCCCTCTTTGGGGTTACTTACATGCTCACACATACTTGAACTGAGAAGGAAATGCCAATGTATGTTTTAAAGTTTGGCTAATAGTTAAAGTGTTGACGTGCCGAGGTGGGAATTTAAGGGATAAAAGAACTGTTCTGAACGGCATCTCAAACAGTATAGTGAAACCTGAAATGAACATTGGATTGCAGAAGCTTTATGTTACTGTAAATTCTTGATAAACTAAGTATACATAATTCTCCCCAAAGGACGTGGCTTAACTTTGTCAACGTTAAGATTCTGCCTAGGTTCTGGTCACACCGGTCACCGTTTCCTGCCAGGTTCCCTTGTTGAAGGGCACCTTGTCGAGGTGATAGGGAGGGTAAGCGGTGCACCATGGCCTTTATCATGTCACTTTCGTCCTTCATGATACTTACCATAAAACCCTAAACTAACCAGCTCCCTTTGGAAGCTTCTATTCCAAATCTCTCCTTCTGTGTTTCTTGCTCCAGTCGCTGATTTGGGCTACTGTTTCAGCCTTGTGGTGGTGGAGCCTGACATGTGTTTCTGCTCCTCTTCCCCAGGGCCTCCTGATGTGGATCAGCCCTGCGAACCCAGCTTGCAGGCCTGGAGTCCCGAGCTGCACCTCTACCACATGAATATGACAGTGCCCTGCCCTGCGGAGGGCTGCAGCCTGGAGCTGCTCTTCCAATACCCGGTCCGAGCTGACACCCTCTCCCTCTGGGTCACGTACCTCTCCACGGACTCCTCCCCGGCGCTGTTTGACACAGTGATCGTGCTGGAGAACCAGGAGTCTGTGCACCTGGGCCCCTTCGACACTTTCTGTGACACACCCCTCACCATCAAGCTGCAAGTTGATGGAAAGGTCTCCGGGGTGAAAGTCTACACCTTTGATGAGCGGATGGAGATCGACGCTGCTCTCCTGACTTCTCAGCCCCACAGTCCTTTGTGCTCCGCCTGCACGCCTGTGAGGTACCAGGTTGTCCGAGAGCCTCCTTTTGCCAGTGGCTCACCCATGGTGGTGACACATCCTCACAGGAAGTTCACAGACACGTGAGTTGGGCAGTGGGGCCTTTTGAAACAGTAGGGCCTCGGGGCCTCGGAATCAATTTGGTTGCTTCTGTTTCCACTTCTTAACGTTCTGGCATGCCATTAGTTGGGAAAATGTTGAGAATCTGAGAGAAAATTGTATTCTAAAGTGGCACATCTGAAATGAAGGAAACGCTTCCCCAGTGTTCTGATTGCTGATGGCACCACTAGGGTTGTGGGGGAAAGAGATTCCTGTATGAAGTCTTTCAGTGGGACTGAATGTATCTCCTGCAAATGAGTTGATCAGAATCAGATTCTTCTGTCTGGTAACAATTTAATTTCTGATTTCTTGCTGTAGCTTTCTAACAGTCTGCTGCAGCTCCCACAACATTCAAAAATTACAGTCAATGCCTCCCTATGAAGCAAAAATGCTATAGGCCCTGCAGGCACGGTGCTCGCTTCAGGACTCATTCAGAATGTGTGTTGCATTCTGCCCTCTTTTCTTATTTCTCTTTCCCTCTCTCTTCTGTCCCTCTCATCTAATTTCCTTCTGTTCTTATTTCTAATCTTTCTCTCTACATTTATTGTGTTCTGCTGTGTTCCTAGTGCCCTGTACTCAATGCTGGAGACACAAATACAAGGTCATTACCTATAAAGAATCCAGTTTCCGCAGCAGGAGGCTGCTGTCCCCAAAGGCAAATGTCTTCCTCATCATAATTTTCCTCACCGCATATCCTGAGGGTAAAAATGGGGTAAAACAGAGTTTTATCAGAGGTGGTATATCAGTTTTTGTGACAGTAGAAATCTTCACAGAATGTAGTGAGTTAAAACAACAAACATTCTTCTCGATTCTATGGATTGGCTGGGTGTTCTCTTTTGGATCGTCCTGGCCAGAGCCAGATGGCCTGGGATGATCTCATGCACATATTGGAGGCCTCAGCTGAGACAGCTGCCATGGCTGGGAATATAGGACTCTTTTCTCATGGTCTCTCAGGTCCTGGACTGGGTTTCTTCTCCCGGCAATGGAGGGCTTCCCAACAGCAGAGAGGGCAAGCCCCCGTTACTTGCACTTTCCAAATCTATGCTGTGTATTATTCAAGATAATGTCCCACTAGCATAAGGAAATCAGAGACTGTGCTAGGTGTGTGCATGCGACACTCTACCATAGCTACGAAAAAGTGTCCACCTTGAACTTCAGTACATTTTCTTAACATATTTACTCTTTAATTAGAAGTAGAAGATAGTAAAATGGTAAAAAAATACTAATGCCTGTGGAAAGACAGATTGTGGGGTGAGTTTTAAAATAATCATTTCTGAGCTTCTGAAGGAAAGTAGCTAATATAGCATTGGTAATCTAACAATATCCACAGACACATAAATGTCTAAGACTAATAATATCCCATTTTACAGATACAAAACTGAGACTGAACTTTAATTTCGTTGAGTAGCTAGTAAATGGCAGACTCAGGATTAAGATCCAGTTTTCTAACGGAATCTCACCTCTGTCCTCCTTCATAAGTAGCACACTCAGATCATTGAAGGCCTGGGCTACCTGCTACTAGGTTTTTCCCCCGAGAAGGGAAAATACAGAATGAAGTTTACCAGACACAGAACAGTGTAAGGCTCTATGCATAGCTGGACAAGACGTCTGGTGAAAACCACCTTATGAAAGGAAACTATCAACCTTGATTAAAGCATGAAACTGGTTCTGCTGTAGCAGTGGCTGGCACTCACATGAAAAGGTCGCTTCCCTGAAATGGAAAAGGAATTTGGAAATTTTAAAGTTTTTAATATTTAGGTGTCATTACTATTAAAATACCTGAAAGCCAGCATAGAGGTTTTGAAAGGTAGTTTTGAAACCCCAAGATTCATTTTGTGCGCTGGTTTCTGTAGCAGCTGAAAGAGTAGGGGCCCTTAAAGAAAAGGGTCTTAGCAGAAGCTGTATGGCAGCCACTCCTGGCATTCTAAGCAGTCTTTTGAGATCTTGTCCTCGTAAGTCCTGTCCCAGGTTGCCTTTGGTGATAGTTTTCTGATCGTTTCCAGCACTGGACAAAATTAAGAGGAGGACAGCATTTGTCTTTGGAACCAGCAGCCCCTTTCCCAAGCACACTTTTTTCTCCTAAATGTCCTGTTGCACTTTCCACCGGATCACTGCCCTTGGGTCTACAGAGTCTAATAAACTCTTCCTATCTTTTCTGTAAATATTATTCCTGGTATTTGGAGGTAGAGAATAATTTAATGAATTTCTAATTGATTGTTTTCTGTCTCTCTAAAATGGTGATGGGCAGTATTCTTACTTCCTTTCATGAGATAGTTGCTGTTATTCCTAAGAATTTAGTCTCCTCAAGACAAGAATTTTCTTGAGAAAACTGATCCACAGGTCTAGGAAGGTCCTTGGTTGATCCCACATTCTAAAGTTTTCATCTCCAATTTTTGGATTGTTCTGAAGATACAAAACATTGGTTTTTCAACAGTTGTTTAAACCCACTTGAATACCAACTTCCCATTGTCTTGGGCTGTTCTATTTAGTGCTAATTCAGCAAATAGTACTGCGCATCTACTATGTACAATATGTAAGAAATTCAGAAATAAATATGTTTCGAACATCATGTTGCTCTATAGGACTTGATCTTTATTTTAAACAATTCAGCATACTTAATATATGTGTTCCCCTAATACTTCCCTTAAACGCCTTCAAACCTTCTTGAAAGGATCCAAGCAAGGTCTCATTTTGTGGATGTCATAGTCACAAACCCATTGGTTTCCACAGGGAAGTCACACCTGGACAAATGTATCAGTACCAAGTTCAGGCTGAAGCTGGAGCAGAATTAGGAGAACCCTCACCTCCTCTGCACCACATGCATGGAGCTCCTTACTGCGGAGATGGGAAGGTGGAAAAGTGAGTATTGTGTGTGAGGGATGTGAGGGCTAGGTCGTTCTGACCTACTCTGACCAGGAGACTCAGCCTCCAGGTTGAGCTTGACTTATTTGGAAATGTAGGGGCAAGGCGTCATGTGATTCTAGAGCTGAAATTACAAAATCTGGGATCAGATAACCATCTTGAGACATCACTGACATCTCTGTGTATTTACAGAGACTCGGTTCTGTTTAGAGCTCACCCCAGAACATTGAGATACTAGAGTTAAACTTCTGGGGTCCCCTGAAGGCCTCAATGAACAACTGTGGGGCAAAAATTTAGGAAGGAATTTATCCTGAAGAATGTTCCTTGTCAAATGATACTGAAAGAGGATAGCTTTTGGATCAATGTTTTACCCAATACTACTAACTAGCTGTGTGATTTTACTAACTAGCTGTGACTGAGCAAAGTCAGCTGCTCATTTGATCCCTAAAAGCATTAGTTTCAATGTAATTTCCAACTCTTCTGTAAACATCATTAAAGTAAAGATGGAAACCTTTCTTTGGTTTCTTAAGATCCCACGCTCCCCTCTCTGTTGTCTTGTAAAACTGACCTGGGGAGCTAACTTACTCTCATTTCCCTGGGGCTTTTCCAATTTTGGAACTGAGAAATCCCCAGTCCTAGGAAGACCGTGGCAGTTGGTCGCCTTACATCAACCTATTCTTAATGCTCATCAAAGCTAATTTGCTACACGGAGTTGCTGGGAGCAGGAAGCTGAATGGCCAGGCTCTATAATTTGTAATAATAAATTACAGTTGTTTCGGATTCTGCGTTTCCCAGACGAGGTGAAAGTATATTGCACCATAAAGCCTTAATAGGAATAAATTCTACATCCTTTCTTGAGATTCCATGCCATCATTTAACAATCACTGAACATTGTTTATCTTCTCAGTCTTCTAAGAACTTTACACTATAGTGTAAGCCTACTCCTTTGCACAGAAATAAAGGCGCTGAATGTTTCCAGATGTCCTTCATATACGGAAGCTACTGAGATCATTTTAATATGCAATCCTTGCTGGTTTGTTGCTCCCCCTGCCCCGGCCCCCACCCCCTCCACCTAGCTCAGCCTCAACCTGCTGTCTCTTCCCTGCAGCTCAGATGGAATTTCTCCCTGACGATACTTCACATGTGTGCAGAACAAGTCTGTTGTGCCTGATGTGGTTTTCTCTGTTCTGGCCACCTCATGTTATGTCTGCACCCCACAAACCAATGTGTTTGGAGTCTGTGTTAGTATTGCTGCACTGACAGACTTCCTTCAACAAAATATCCTGCCCTGAGTCATAGTGCCTGCTCAGGTGGTGATGCCAAGGATGAGGCTAGGGTGCTACAGTTGCCTGGGTGGTGTGGGGCAGAAAGAGGAGCAGCGCCGTCTTCCTAATTTGGTGATCGCATTTACTCTTACACCTTGAAGCAGCTACACTTGATTCAGCACTTTTTGGCTACTGAGTCTCACAAGGTTCCTTATCAAAATGCACTTTTAAGCTTCTGTCTGCATTTGTTCTCTGTGTAAAGTGCATCCTGCATCATGCAATGGGAAGACATCTTTGGATTTCAGCTGTGCCTCAGAGGAGGGTACCCTGTTGCACTAAAACAAAAGGAAGTCATGCCAATAGCTTAGGCCACCTGTGTATTCCTTGGCAATGAGACCATCAAAACAAGCACAAAGGAAGGCCCTGCAATTTGGAGCAGTATTCAATTAGAAATTGCCACTTCAGTGTATACCATGCAGTATAGGAGATATCAGCCCATGTAGGCCTTGAGGCTTTGAAATATAGCAGGTACAGCTAAGAACCTGAATATTAAGTAATTTAGTTTAAAATCTGAAACTCACTTCAGCTACTGGCGAATCTTTAAGTATAATTTAAAAGTTTGGAATGACTTGGGCGGGTGAATTTACTTTTTAAGGTGTAAATTTTATGATATCTAAATAAAAATCTGTTTAAGTGAAAAACACACATCCAATTTCAAAGTTTTAAGATGCAAAAATGAACGTAACAGCTCATTAATGATGTTATACCCATTGAACATTAAAGCGATATTTTAGGTATGTTGAGTTGAATAACATATATGATTAAAACTAACTTTGCTCCTATCTTTTTACTTCATTAATGACTACTAGTATATTGAAAATTATATGTGACTCCCATTATATTTTTATTGAATGGCACTGCACAAGATGATACCCAATATGCCTCTATTAACTATTTGGATTACCTTCAAAATAAAAAGATACAATTGCCAACCTCCAAATCTATATCCTGGACTCCCTGTAGAGAAACAACAATGGAGGTTAATTCTCCTTCTCTGATGGAGTATGAAGGTTTGGGGACTTCCTGAACATCACATATCTCATTGGATCCCCAGTGTGGCATATTTTCACTGAATTACATTGCCTTTGTTTAGAAAAGAGAATGTGAAGTTTCTATTATTTCTTCCATTAAGTTTTTTCCTACTTTTCTCCTTCCTTCTACTTCTTGACCTCTCTCCACTTCCAATTTATTGTACAGAGTACGATTATTGGGCTTGGGGTTTATCTCAGTGCCAGAGTGCCTGCCTAACATGCACAAGGCCCTGGGTTACATTTCTAGCTCTGCAGAAGATTTGATTATCATACTACTGCATCTTTAGTGTACTTTTAATTCATGTGAAAGCATATCCAATTGTTTAGTTATTACTCTACCCCCATGAGATATACTTTAAATAATGGTAGAGCCATTAGTGATACCCTGGATCTGAAAACCTTTTAGTGTTCCTAAGCTCTTTCTCTACTGAGTTGAAATACATATCCATTTTGGAAATGGTGAAAAGCCAAGGAATAAAATGGCAACCTTCATCCAATTTACAATAGCCAAATCTTTGTTCTTTCACAGGAGTTTCAACCCAAGTATGTCTATTTTATTTTCATCACATGCTTCATGTTCCTTTCACTGTAAACTAACTTACCTATCTCAGTCCACATTTCGCCATCAGTTGCATTAGTTTTTGAAGTTCAAAATAGCATTTCTTCTACTTAAGGCCATTTCTCCCCTGTAATATATCGCAGACGCCGCTAGGTGACAGTAGGGAGACTGGACGGGATCTGAATTCTAGATATGCTTTGGTCTCAGTCACGGAGGGGCTGATTGTGTCTTCTAGTAGTACACAAACAGGAAACCCAACTTCTTAAAATTCTAACTTGTGTAGTTGCATGTTGATAAAAAAACAACGAAACAAAATATAAAGAAATATCAAATAAATTGAATAGAAAACAAAACCATAAAAACAGGGAAGTTGTCTTCAGATCAGCTATTTATTTTTTCTTTTTAAATAGTCAAGTGATTTAACTGAAATTACTTTTAATTTATACATAAAATATGCATATTAATGGAGTACTATGTGATGTTTTGATGTATGTACACAGTGTGTAATGTTCAAATCAGGTTAAATATATCCATCTCCTCAAACATTTTCTCTATGGCGAAAATATTCAAAATCTTTTCTTTGGGCTATTTGCATATGCCATACACGGCTGTTATCCATACTCATCCCACTGTTCAATAGATCACGAGAGCTTCTGACTGCTGACTAACGTGTATCCTGATCAACCTTTCCCCATTTCTCCCTCTCCATGACACTTTTCAACCTTTGGTAACAACAATACTACTTTCAACTTGTATGTGATCAACTTTTTTGATTCTGCATGTAAGTTAGACCATGTGGTACTTGTTTTTCTGTGCCCAGCCTACTTTATTCAATATATTGATTTCCAGCTTCATCCATATCATCATAAGTGACAGAATTTTATTCTTCATTATGACCAAATAGTATCCCATTGTGTATATGTTCCACATTTTTTTCATCATGCATCAGCTTAGCTGTTGTGAACAGTGCAACAATGAACATAGGGGTGAAGATATCTCTTTAAAATACTGAGTTAGTTGCATAATCAGTAGTGGGATTGCTGGATTGTATGGTAGCTCTATTTTTAATTTTTTGAGGAACCTCCATGCTTTCTTTTTCCAGTACCAGGAATCAAACGCAGGACCTTGCACTTGCCAGGCAGGCATGATACCACTGAGCTACATCCTTGGCCCTCCATACTGTTTTAATTTACATTTCCACTGAATGTACAAGAGTTAACCTTTTCTCCACATCCTCACTAGAACTTGTTACCTTTAGGTTTTTTTAATGATATTAAGTCTTATTGGACTGAAGTGTGATCTCATTGTGGTTTTGATTTTCATTTCCTTGAAGATCAGTGATGTTGAACATTTTTTCATGTACCTGTTGGCCATGTGTATGTATTCTTTTGGGAATGTTGATTACCAAATTTTCCAAGTTTTGTTTGTTTTGTTTTTGTGGGTTTTTTTGTTTTTTGTTTTTTGCTATTGAATTTTGGGAATATTAAGTAGCTCCTTGTTAGGTGCATAGTTTGCAAATATTTTCTTCCTTTTTATAAGACGTTCCTTCATTCCATTGTTTCCTTTGATATGCAGAAACTTTTTAGCTTGATGTTATTCCATTTATATATTTTTGTTGTTATTTCCTATACTTTTACTTCTTAACCAAAAACTCCTTGCCCATTCCAATGTCCTGAATCATTTCCTTTTTGTTTTCTTCTAGTAGTTTTAAAATTTTAGGCTTTATAAAATCCATTTAAGCCTTTTATTTAAGTATTTAAGCCATTTTAAGTTGATTTATGACAGCGGTAAATGATAGGGGTCTAGTTTCATTTGTCGACATGTGCATACCCAACTTTCTCAGCACCATTTATTAAAAAGTCTGTCTTTTCTCCAATATGTGTTCCTAGCACTTTTGTCAAAAAATAGCTGGCTGCAGATGTGTGGATTTACTTCTAAGCTCTCTATTCTGTTCCATTGGCCTATGTATCTATTTTTGTACCAAGACAATGCTGTTTTGTTGCTAGAACTATGCAGTGCAAATAAGAGTCAAGAAGTATAATGACTTCTACTTTTTCTTTTTGCTCAAGATTGTTCCAGCTCGTGTGTGTGTGTGTGTGTGTGTGTGTGTGGCTCCATATAATTTTTAAGGTTTTTTTTGGTTCTATAAAGAGTGTTATTGGTATTTTTATAGAGATTGCATTGATTTTATATAAAGAACTCAAAACAATCAGTCCCCCCAAATATAAAGACCCGATTCAAAAATGGGCATCCGAAATGAACAGACATTTCTCAGACAAAGAAGTAAAAGCAGCAAGAAAATATTTGAAAAAATGTTCCACATCACTGGTCATTCGAGAGATGCAGATGAAAACAACACTGAGATTCCACCTCACCCCACAAAGAATGGCTGCTATCAAGAAATCACACAATAACAAATGTTGGCGGGGTTGTGGGGAGAAAGGAACCCTTCTCCATTGTTGGTGGGAGTGCAGACTAGTGCAACCACTATGGAAATCAATACGGAGATACCTCAAAGAGCTATAGATTATTTTTTGTGGTATGGACATTTTAAGAATCCATATAGATGGTGTGTCTTTGTGTGTGTCCCTTTTGATTTCTTCCATCTGCATTTTATAATTTCATTGTGGAGACTTTTCACCTTCTTTGGTTAAATTTGTTTCTGTGCATTTTATTTTTGTATTACTGTAAATGGCGTTGTTTTCTTGATTTCTATTTCAATAATTGGCTACTAATGTTTAGCCATGCTACTGGTTTTTATAAACTATTGAAACTAATAGCCGGGTGTGGTGGCTCACGCCTATAATCCCAGCACTAGGGAGGCTGAGGCAGGAGGATTGCTGTGAGTTTGAGACCAGCCTGGACTGCATAGTGAGTTCCAGGGCAGTCTCAACTACATAGTG